GTTTTGTTTTTTATTTTTTATTTATTTATTATTATTTTTTTTTGAGTTGGAGTCTCACTCAGTTGCCCAGACTGGAGTGCAGTGGCCGTTCCCGGCCACCGCAGCCCCGACCTGCTGGGCTCCGGCAATCCTTCCACCTCAGCCTTCTAAGTAGCTGGAACTACAGGCGCATGCTACCACGCCTGGCTGGTTTTTTGATTTATTGTAGAGATGAGGACTCGCCAAGTTGCCTGGGCGGGTCTCGAACCCACGGGCTCAGGCAATGCACTCACCTCAACCTCCCAAAGCGCAGGATTACAGGCTGAGCCACCGAGCCCGGCTGGTTTTGTTTAACATCTGGATCTCTAGTCCATTTGGAGTTGATTCTAATGTGCAGTGTAAGGCACGGAATCCATTTTCTCTTTAACCAAATGACTATCCACTTCTCCCTATGTCATTTATTTAAATGTGTCTTTTTCTAATGATTGGAGGAGAGCACACTTCCCAGCCTTTTATCACTAAAAGCCTAGACTTCCACATGTATGTGGAACTTTGCTTTGCCCTGGACTTATTCTGTCCCATCAGCATGTCTGTGTGTCCTCCTAAGGATGCTCCCTCTTTCTCAGGGACTTCATGACACGTCTCAGCATCTGCTGGGGACTCCTCACCGTCAGAGGTTTCCTAGGTATCCCTGTTTCTTTGTTCTTCCACATGGACTTTAGAACCAGCTCAGCAAGATCCAGAAGAGATGCTTGTTGGTTCTTTTAAATCAAGATTGTGTTACATGTGTATATTCACAAGTTGGCATCTTCATTGATGTTGAATTGTTCTGTGCAAAAAGAAGGGACTTCTCCATTTGCCTGTACTTTTATGTCTTTCCTAGTAAGATTCTTGCGAAGACTGTAGGACTTCTTCTGATATTCCATGTAGATTTTTGTACATTTAATGTTATGCCCTAGTATTTTTTCAATGCTTTTATGAGTTTTTCCTTCTTTTTGAACTGCATGTTGTTTATACTGTATATGGGAGGGGCTATAATTTGCTGATGTCAATTTCATATCTTGCTGTCTTACTGAATACTCTTTCATTTGTATTCAACTTAGGATCTATTTTCTTGAATTTTCTAGGTGTGCTGCTGTCTACAAAAAGAGATCACTTGTCTCTTCCTTAGGGGGTGAACATTTAAAAGATTTTATATTACATATTGCCAAATCTCCTTTTAGAAAACATGGCACCAGTTTACATTCCTTCTGTGGTAGTGTGTTGCCATGCTCTTGCCAGTACTGAGTACTCATAGGCTTCTGAAACTTTGCCTATTTACTGCAGTCTTCACTCAGTGAGAGGGCCATCCCCTGTGCCCCTTCCCCAGGCCAGATACCCTGCTAGAGACACAGCAGGGAACGCACAGATCTCAGGCCCCCTCTGGGAGTCCGTGTTCCAAGAGGAGATGAGGCTTGTTTCTTGAGGCTTAAAATGAAGGCTGCGGCTGCCCTCTGAGCCCAGCTGATAAGAGATGGCCAGGCTGTCTTACCCAAGAGCCTGTCCCTGGCCAGGGACTTGTTCTGGAAAATCCCTGAGTGGTTATATAAAATCCATTGCCCTGCCCTACTTCTGTAGAGCTGTGTCACTGCGAGCCCTCTGAGAGTCTTGCAGGATCCCCTGCACAGCCCGGGCAGGGCAGCAGTGGCAGCCCCACTCCAGCAGCTGCATCTGTCCAGGAGCCATGGGGCAGCCAGGTGCCCTCCTGGGCCCATCCTAGGCCACCTAGTCCCAGTAGGGCCGCGCACAGAGGGACCCCATCAAATGGATCGAGGCTCTCCACAGGCTTCCACCACCCTATAAAGGCTACCCCCAAAGCCTTCCTGTACACAACCCCGTCCGCTGACGCTGACACCAACCTTGCCCTGCCGAGGCTGGTGATCCCCAGGAAGCTGGGCAGGAAGTGCCAGAGGACTTGACCCGCATGGCTCACCCACCCTCATCTTCCTCCATCTTGGCCCACTGTCCTTCCACCTCGGCCCCCTCCTCCACGCAGCCTGTCCGGCACCGTCACACACCCATACTCCCGTCACTGAAGCTTACTTGCTGTGTGGTCCTGGGCAAGGTACCTTACTCTCTGGGCTTGCTTCCTTCTGTACCTCATAGGTAGATGTGCGAAGTGAAAGAGGGAGGACTCCCAGCAGGTCTGCACGGCGTGTGGCAGCAGGAGGGCTCTGTGACCATGTGTTCATTGAACGGGAGGGGGGAGACTGGGTGGGGTGTGTCAGCAAACCCTCCAGGGGCCCAGCTTCTTCCACCCAGAGATCAGACCCAAGGGCTCCAAAACGTAACCTTTGTTAGAAACGTGGCCACCCCGCCCTGTCCTGCTAAATCCCGCCCAAGGGGCATTTCCAGCCACACTAAGAGTGAGCGCAGTGGGGCGCTGACCCCAGACTGGCATTCCACAGCCTGCCTGCTTACTCTGGGATCTGAGTCTCACTGTGCAGTCCCAGCCTGAGGTTAGTAGACAGAGGGGCCGTGAGGGGAACCTACCACCACCCTTCAAGTTGGGCACTGGGTCCTCGGGAGAGAGGAAATTTCCTTCTCTTGTATTTATTTTCCACATCCTTGCCTCTGAAAGCCAAGCTGGTGTTGATATTTACCTTGGCCAGGCCTCCTGTCTCCCTGGGCCAGCCGCGTGTAAACACACTTTTCCTTCTCTCGCTCTGTAGCACTGAGGTGGCCTTTTGCAACCAATTCTAGGAATCTGGAAAGTCTGAAGGCGTAGGTTCAGGGACCAGCCCACCAGGCAGCAGGGTGCGAGGGGCCCTGGGACCTGCTGTGCTGGCCTTGCCCTTCCTCCCGGGGGGTGACTTGCTGCAGGCCGTAGAGAATGAGTCCAGGTCTGTGCGGCCAGGCAGGGCCTCTCCAGAGTCCTCCACTCCTCCTCCTAGCTGTGCTGTGGGCAGGCCTTGCTCTGCCCATGTTCACACCAAGGGTCAGACTCAGAGGACACATGCGGAGGGCCGGGGGCAGGAGCTGGCTGTCGTACTGTGCTGCCCGGGCCCTTCTGGGGCTGGTGGAGAAAGCCTGCTCTCGGGCTCTCTGGCGTTAGTCCAGGAGTGTTGTCACCTGGACAGCGTGTGTAGTGGAGACGTAGCAGGCGCCAGGTGCAGAGTCTCTGCCCTCCCCCAGCCAGCCTTCTGAGGGCAGGTAGACAGCAAAGAGAAAGCAGTTGAGATGCAAGATGGAGTGGGGGGGGTGGGCCCGAAGGCAGGGCGAGCAGGCCCAGGCAGAGTCAGGGATGGCCCGCGTGGACACACGAGAGGCGGGGCGGCAGCACGCAGGTGGCCACACCTCAGCCTGCCACCAGCTGGCCACATACCAGTGAGGCCTTGGGTGAGGAAGGTCAAGTCCGAGACTCGGTTTCCTTGTACCGTGAGCCGGCCGTCCCTCCGTGACAGGGAGCTGTGAGGGCAGCTGCAGCCCGTGGAGCATGCAGGCCCCGTGCAAGCGGGAGCCGCTGTCCCCGCTGCCACCCTCACAGCTGCAGTTTAGAAACAGCGTCGTGGGCACCACGGGGCCGTGGAACAACATGGCTGAATCTCTCCCTTTCTCCAACGCAGATCTGGGACATGAGCGACGATGAGACCATCTGAGGCGACCCCCTTGGGTGGGGCCAACTTTTCCTGGCTGCCTGCTGAGGAGCGCGCTGTTGCCAGAGCAGGACTGTCTGGGCCCCGCCCCTCTGGCCCCCACGGACCTGCCCCCGCTGCCCGGAAGCTACCGGTGTTCTGCATTACTCGTGATTCATGATCCCACCGGTGCTGAGCTAAATAATAATCTTGGCTTTGGCACTGATCCGGGACTCGGTTGCCTCCATGTGCAGTTCTTTTTTGCTGTCGTCACAAGTGTTCGATATTCAGGCTCCCGGCATTCCTTCCCCTTGGCCCCTGGAGTGGCACGGAGCAGCTGGGGAGCCACGGGGCAGGTAGCACCCGTCCCCAGGATGCACAGCAAGCCCCACCGTGGCCCCCTCCTGTCCTGGGCTCCTGTCTCCGTATCCAGTCCCTCTCCTGGGGGGCACCGGGCTGGCAGGTGGGTCCTTGCGAGCACTCGGCAGCCTGGCCCTTGTGGAGAGGGAGGGCGGCGAGGAGCAGGGAGGGCTCGTCTGCATACAGGACCGAGGGCACCACACTTGTCCTGATGACCCCGAAACTCCACCATGGACAGTTAGCCACCCAGATGGCTCTTCTGCCTCCCGGCCTGTCCTCAGCTCTGGGCATATCATCTGTGACTCCCTGTTCGAGGCAGGCAGGCCCCTGTTCCTGCCTGGAGCGGGTCTCAGGTGCCAGGTCCAGGCAGCTCCTGGACGAGCCTCCTCCCTGCCCTGTGCACACTCCAGACCCAGAGACCCAAGGAAGGCCAAGGCTGCCCCCCTCACATCCCTGAGGTGCCTCCTTGCCGGTGGCGTGGAGGTTCTATCTGTAGCGTGGGGTGGCTGGCCTTGTGTCTGGCTCAGCTGGCCAGGCAGTGAGAGGAGCCCAGCGGCTCTACCCCAGGGCACGTGAGCAAGGGCTGTTTTCTCTTTATTCTGGGTTAGTGCCTCTGTGAGCCCATGGAGTCAGGTGTGGAAACCCAGGAGATGGCACAAGCTTGGCATCTGTGACACCATGCCCTATGTGAAGGCATCACAGCCCCTGGTGTGGCACAGGGGCCAGAGGCACCCTATCCACGATTCCATTTTATTCTTACAGCTTCAGCTTTTATCTCAGGCCCAGACCCAAAGTTCAAATTAAGTCTGGGGCTGACTCTCACAATAGGAATTCTGCAGGGTAGATCTGAAATGATGCTCTTCCTAGAGCAGAAAGTCAAACGACTGCTTTCAGCTCAAGTGGGGCTTAAATGGGGGTGATCCCACACAGAGGTGCAGGGCCACTGAGTCGACCCTCGGGCCCAGGGCCTCACAGCTGAGCCCCCGGGGCCACTGCCCGCTCAGCCTGGCACTGTGACTCCGGGATTGAAAAGCCACACATGTCGTCTGTGGTTTAAGAGCACTTTATTATTGTTCTTAAGGCTACTTTTAAGTACAAAAAAAAGATGGCCTGCCAAACCTTTTTTTTTCTTCTTCCAGGAAAAACAGGCCACCGAGAATGGTATATTACAGATTTACAAACATGGAGAGAAGGTCAGAACGCACTGCAGATGGCTCGGCTCTGGGAAGAACTTCACGGAGCCCCTTCTTAGAGCAGGGAGGGTGCTCTTTCTCAGTGAAGTGTTTGGTTTTCTGCTGCTCCTCTGCCCGAGGTCCCCTCCAGGGTACTGCCTATCCCAGACAGGTCAGTGCACCAAGGACCCGGTCGTCAGCACCGCCAATCCCGCCCAAAGCGATGCCCTCGTTCACTGGTAAAGAGACCCATCCCAGGAGCGTTCTCCACCGAGCCAGTCAGCAGTGGGGTTGTTTTCCTGTTATAACGCTCAGTAGCCTGTAGCAATAACAAACTAGTGGCTATTAATGCAGATGCAGTGTTCTCATAGAATAACTGTGTTCCTGCACTTTTACAGACAAACTACGACAAAAAAAGATCAACTTTTTTTTCCAAACAAAAAAATATGAATGATTACAATAGGAAAGGGAAAAATTAAATAGCTACATATCATTATTAACAAATTAATTGTTCTTCAAAAAATACCTACAAATTTCTCTGTACATTCTTTACGCACAGCGTAATGATGGTCTTAAAGTTACCTATATAAAAAAAGTGTTCTCAACGATTCTTCCTACAGAAAATATAGGGGCCTGAACGCCAAAGCTTGGAAGCCCAGGAGAGCGGGGTGAAACGCGTGCTGGGGCGAGAGAAGGGCTTCGTTTCTGCTTTCGGAAAGGCCTGCGGCCACTCTGTGACCACAGGAGCCGGCCCTCCGGCCTTTCCACCTGGTGCCAATTTTCAAAGTTCAACGGCTGAACGGTACTGTTCTCATACCGAGAACCAGCCTCGAGGCTCCCGTGGCGTGCCTTGCCAGTGAGGTGGCCACGCCGTGGGCCCTGGTCAGGTGACACTGTCACCCGCCCCCTGGCGGCCAGGCTGGACGGCACCCGGGGGGTGGGGGATCGAAACGCTCATCGACCGGGAAGAGGAGCAGCTGTGGGCTCCCACAGCCGTGCCATGCTTTCACCTAGATTCTAGTTAGTGGCTATTAGTAGGGCGAGTGATAATAAATGCGGTCATAACTGTATAGAGTCAGAGGAATGTATACTGCCTTGGCCCCAGCGTACAAGGAAGCTTACAGAATACCATATCACAGATTGTCAGGAATCTGCTGTTCAGCCAAGAATGCAAAAGAGCAGTTTCTGCATCGAGGAAGACACAAGCCCCACCTCCCCTGGGAGCCTGTAACAAAGCAGACAGGAATGCAGAAAATAACGATGACGCCAGCCTGCAGCAAAATCTCCAGCAAGCGACGTCGAGGCTTTCGACTGCTCGACTGCTCATCACGAGGGCCTGCCAGGAGCTGGCTGTCCCCGGCGCTACTTGTGAGTAAAGTGAACATCAAATACAAATCTTAGAGTACAACTGTACCAGCAGTAAGTATATCTAGGACTGTAACTGACAAAAATAAACTAATTCTGAAAAGAAGATAGTAAGTGTTAAGGTTTTCGCTTACTGTCTATACAATTAATAGAAACCAGCTATTTTTTTCTCCATTAAAACATGCATCACATTTAAAGCACTATGGGATCCTCCAACCTCAGCTCTAAGTCTAACAAACTGCAGTGTTCAGAGAAGGTAAAATGCCCGTGACTGGGAGAGTCTGCAGTCCAGTTGCAAGCACCTGAAGTCTAGAGAGAGAAAGACCTATAACCTGTATGAGACTTCCCCTTCCAAAGCTGTTTTGTCTAAATAAAAAAAAAAAAAAAAAAATAACAAAACACACAAATGGTCAGAAATGTCATCCTTAAACCCTTTGTTTTCAGCAGTTTGCCCTCAGAGTACTAGCATCACACATAAAGTTGTCAGGCAGGCAACTTTAGTCCTCCAATAGTGCAAATCAGACACGACAGTCCTCTTCAAGTATACACACACACACACACACACACACACACACGGACCGAGCCGAGCACAATGGAAGCTGAGCCGCACACACCCCGGTCTCGAGAAGCAAAGGGAAGAGCACAAAGCATCTGGGTCACCAATGTGGTCATGGCTTGTGACGGAGAAAGCGCGTGTGGGGTCCTGACCCCGTTGGGGCGGCAGACCTGCATCAGAGGTTTCTTTGGTAACTGAGGCAGGAAGTAAGGATGCTACATTAGACAGATGTTCCACACGTAGTTCCTGCTATCATGTTTGAGGGCCCCCTTGTACGAATACCAAGCAAGTACAAAAACAGAACAGAACAAAAATCCCAACATGGTTTTTGCGAATAAACCATCCCTTCCCCTCCCACCCCCACCCCCCCACGATTTTTTTCCATTTTTTTAAAGCACTGACTGTTCAAAGCTCAGGCAAACCATGCAGATCCACGTGCTGCTAGAGGGAGGCGCTCCCTTCAGGAGACCACGGAGGGAGAGTGACTGTGGCTGACCATGTGGGCAGAGGGGCTGGCGGGCTGGCCCCTGCGCGAGGCTGACTCTGGGCTGCTGGATGCGCCATCCTTGGCCGCCTTGATCTGAAGCCATGTGTCACCCAGCGCTTTGGCAAAGTGGTCGTCCACAGAGCCCGTGATGGACACGGAGTTGGGCGCCGGCTCGGGCTCCTTGTAGTTCTTGCCCAGGCTCCTGCGGAAATGCTCCTCCACCACGGGGTCACAGGTGGTAGCAGCTGCGGGCAAGCAGGAGAGCAGTCAGGGCCCAGGGGGTGGCGGGTGGCCTGTATGTACAGCACCCTCCCTCCGGGTGGCTGGGCAGGGTGCCGCGGTCAATGCGGGCTCTGGAGACAGAGGGCCCACCTTTCCCTGGCTTGGCTGGGCATTTGGGCAGGTCCCTGCTGAGTCTGTAAAAATGGTGACATATCTACCGCAATGAGCCGGGGTCTGAGTTCAGAGAGAAAATGTGGCATTAAGCTTAGATAACAGTGGCACCTGTCCCCCCAGCAACTAGAGCGCGAGGCTCAGGGTAGGTTGTTCCTCAGGCCCTTCCTACTGAGCCACACATAGCGCCAGGTCCACACGGAATGTGCTCAAAAAGCGCTCTCTTCACCCTCAATCAGTTAAGCAAGGCTGGGATGAGGGGCTGTAGCAACGGCAGGGCACAGACAGGTGAGGGGGCTGGGACACTTACCGCTCGGTGGCCTCCGGTAGTTGGCCAGCCCAGGCGCAGCACAGCCGCTGTGTGCGATGGGGCAGTGTGAGAGGTTGCAGTTGCGGGCGCCGGCTGAGGCGCAGGTGATCACCGAGGGCCGGTTCTGTGGAAAGGGGGGTCTTAGCGCCCTGGGGAGCCCTCCCAGTACCTCCCCGCAGGCCCTTCGGGCTCTGTCCCAGAGCCCATCCTGACCATCTGCAGCCTCCTACTTCAGCCCTAGAGGCCAGATGCCAGCCAGGCCACAGAAGAGCGACTCCAAGGGCATGTGCTCAGCCCACTCCTGAGCTGTCCTCCTCTGAGTGGTCATTGCTGTTTGGATCCGTGGGGGAAAGGGACAAAGGCTCAGCCAATAAGACTGGGTCCCCTCTCCCGAATCGAAGCTGAGATGAACCATGCCCCTCCCTGCCCCCGGGGGAATCGTGGCTGGAGATGGCAGCCCAGCCCCTACCAGTGAGGTCCCGAAGCCCTTCCGCCACGTCCATGCTCATTGTGCTGTGGGGATTCTTAGAGCCACCCATAACCTTTCAATTTACTTGAATCTTTGCTTAAACCAAAGCTAGCTTAAGTTGGTTTCTAAGAAGACCATGCAAACCATGTGGAGGGAGAAGTGGAGGAAACACACCCAAGCATGGGAACGGCACAAACCTCCCAGTGCAGCTGCGCCCTCTCCTTCCCTGTCGCCCCACAAGGGTTTCCTGACCACCACCATCTCCTCCCCTTTGCATACCTGCTCCCCCACCCTGCCAACGGTCAGCCAGGCAGGCCTTCTGACCTCCAGTAGTGCAAACAGTCATGACAGTCCTCTTCAAGTACACACACACACAGACCGAGCCGAACGCGCTGTGGAAGCTGAGCCACACACCCCGGTCTCGAGAAGCAAAGGAAAGAGTACAAAGCGCATGGGTCACCAATGTGGTCATGGCTTGAGTCTTTCCTTATGCCAAAGCTAGCTCAAGTTGGCTCCAAGTTGACCATGCACACTTGAGGGCAGGGGCCAGAGAGCTTGTCTGGAACCGCAGGCCTTGGTGTAGCACCTGGAACCGGAAATACATGTGAACAACTGGGTTTCCTCAGGCTCCCACCAGGAAAGGTTCCTCCTGATGCCCCTCGAGGACAAGATGGAGGAACATGTGGGCTGAATTTCAAGACCACCAGTGAGAGGCTGGCTGACGCGTACTCCAAAGGGACCCGAGATGACAGCACCATCAGCCACAAAGAAGTGGGTTTGTCCTCCTTTTAAAGAGTCGAGGCAGTAGCCGATATAAAGACACAAAAGACTTCACACTAGGCCACCTCATGATGGGGAATGAACAGGATGACAAAAACAGATCCCAGGATAAAAACATGGATCAACAGAGGCGGACTGGGATTCAACGAAAGGACCTGCACTCGAGTCTAGCAAGAACTTCCATACAGCCAGGCGGGGGAGCCGCACAAAAGAAGAATTCAAGCTCTTGCTCGTTGCTCAGCACCAAGGGCTTTGCATGACTGCCAGCTCGCCATTCACTGGACCACTGGGCAGGACTCAGGCGAGGGCCTTCACCACTCTGGGCTTGTTTCAAGTGTGAGACGGAAAAGGGCTGTGCGGGGAAGAGGCTGGGGATGGACTGAGGTGAGGCGTGGGGCCTGGGCCGTGGCTGTCGGCAGGAGTCCTCTGCAGGTGTGGTCGTGCCACCCTGGAGGGGAGGCTGTGGCACGGAGCGCCCCCTTTTGAAGGGTCTGCTCAACCCTCGAGCCTGTGATCTCTCTCCCACTCCCCTCCCAGGGATGTGCCCACCCCCCAACGAAGGTGAGGCTGTGGCTGACCCAGGCTTAGCCAGTCAGACTCCGCAAGGGGTCCAAGTTGAGCCTGGCAGTCGGGAACAGAAACCGGGAGCTGTGGCACGGCCACACCAGGCTGGCCATGTGGGTGGAGAGGCAGACAGGAAAGAGGATGCAGAGACCCAGATGTGCAGAGCCACCGGAAGGAGGAGGACCTGCCCTCTGACAGCTGTCCAAGGCAAGGACCTGTCTCTTCCTGAGCCTGGCTGTACCTATGACCTTGGGCTCAGGGAGAGGCCCCAGGGTCCTCCCAATAAATCTCCCTTCATTTTGTGGTCAAGCCAACACAAGTTGATTTCTGTTCTTGGCAACCAGAGTCCTGACCAACACAAATGTCAGAAAGTGGGGACACACTGTGGGGTGTTGGGAGGAGGGATCAAGGAAGATGAAGAAACGGACGCTTAGGCTGAGGAGTAAGTAAGCTCAAGTCTAGCCATTAGGTCAGCACCGTCCAAAGGGAGGAAAAGCCACAACAGGAGAGACTGCTCCCTCTCCAGCAGGGCGAGACAAACAACTGGTATTCACTCGGTCATCCTTAGGACACCTCCTGACCTGGGATAAGGGAATGCCCTCGAGTGATCACCTCCGGATGTGCAGTGTCCATTGCTTGGGGCACCCTCATCTCCCCAAAACCCAGGCGACGGGGCCTGTGAGCGCTCCTGACATGCTGCACTGCTCCCTCCCTCTCCAGAGCTCAGCTGCAGCACCTGCTCCTGCCTCTGTGGCTGAGGGGGAGCTGGGGCTGAGGCCTGGAGTCGCTCCTTCGCCCAGGGCAGGCCTTCGCCCAGGGCAGGCCTTCGCCCAGGGCAGGCCTTCGCCCAGGGCAGGCCCGTGCCTCCGTGACAGCTTGTGAGGTGACTGCTCCAAGCCCCTTCCACAGCCTTGTTTTCCAGGGGCGGAGAATAAAAGCTAGAAACAAGTCAGCTGCTGGAGGTGCTGCAGCAGACAGACGGTGGCAGGGTCAGCATGGGCTCAGCATGGGCTCTCACTCACAACCTGCTCACCCCCACCCCACCCACCTGACTCCTACCTGGAAGGAGGCCACCCTGGGGAGACAGCTCACCATGGAAGCCATTCCCCAGGCTCCCCGTACTGGGGTTTTAATGCTCAAGCTCAGCCTGTCCTTCCTTGTCTGCTGCTGTGCTTGAGGCCACCCTCCTGGTATCTTTAGATCTCTCTTCAGAACACTGTCTCCCCTCCCAGCTGCCATCACAAAACATGAAATGGGGTGACACTTTCTGCAGCCTCCCCAGACAAACCTCTCTGGGAACTTTTTTGTCCCAGTTTCCAGAGATCTGAGTCACATTTTCCACCACACAGAGGAAGGCTTCCGCCATGTCTGCCCCACAGGGCTGCGCCTGGCCCATCCTGCCAGCCTGCTGACACAGAGCTTTGCTGACGCTCCAGGAAGCCCCCTCCACGCTCTGAGCTGTAGCATGACACGGACAGGAGGTGACTCCCAGGAAGGACTGGGCGCCTCGGTGCTGCCAGAGAGCAGGTACCGTGTGGCCCAGGGCTCAGGAAGCGTGTGAGCAGAGCTCAGGCTGGAGGGGGCAGACCAGGCCATGCCACACCCCAGGGAAGACGCGTCATGAATGGCCACAAAGGAGTGAGTTCGCCGACTGGCAGCCAGGTGAGGAGGCTGGAGTCCCTCGGCCCTAGCCATCACAACAGCTCCGGACAGCCGCTGTGCCTTCCCAGGAAAGCGGGCAGCCTGGATGTGCTCCACGCCCCTGACTTTGTTCTGAGTCCTGCCAGGAACCCCGTAAGAACACAGCTGGGGAGTCAAGGTGCTCACGACTGCAACAGCGGCTCTGAGGCCCCAGGGTGTGTACCAAGGGCGGAGGAACCGCTCCTGCTGGGCATGGTGTGCACAACCAGGCCCACTTCAGGGCACGGTGGAGGGAGACTGACCAAAACCCAACCAGGAGGTTCTCAAGAGCCTTGCAGAATCAAGGAAATCTATCATCCAAGGAAACACCAAAGCTTTTAGAAGCACCAGGGAAGGCAGGGCCCACCAAGGGCCCCTGGCCCGTGAGCAGAGACACTTTGTGAGGGTCACAGCTCATTTCCTCAGGCCACCATGGGCCAGAGGCTGGACACGAGTCCTCCGAGGTTAAACTTCCGAGCTGAATCCTGTCCCCATGCCCCTTCCGACTCACTGCCGGTAATGACAACAGCCAGAGAGCAGAATTCCCTGTATCCTAGAAATAAATTCCTTACAGCTCGCTTACATCAGCGAGAACCAGGTTCCTCTGCCTGCATGTGTCAGCCCTGGCTGACGGCCCCTACCGCAACGCCTGCGGCACCTCACAAAGCAGGCCAACCACCTGCCCAGGTGGGCTGAGCTGGGTCCCTGTGGGTCTGCGGCCCACACCCCTCCCCTCCGGGCCCTGCTGCCCAAGAGCACGGTCCTCGCCTCTCACACACGTTTTTCTGACCAGACTGTGGGCTCCGTCAGGCGTGACCGTGTCTCACCCACACACCTCTGGCTCCCTGGAGCTTCCCAGAGCACCTGGTGCGTGGTCGGCGCTCACCAGTGTTGAGGAAGAGAACAGCCGTGAACTCGGCCCTGGCTCCTATCAGAAGGTATCAAGGGCGGGTGGTTCATACGCTCAACTACCATAATCTGTCCTCCAACCTAACACCGAGCCTGCTGAGAACAAAGGCCGGATCGGGGTTGGCCAGCTTCTAGTGTGCCCTTGTGCATGGCAGCAGTCGGTACCATGGTGTTAAATGGAAGAAAGAAGCAAACAGGATCCTGATGCCAGGCTTGAGGGGGGACGGGCAGCTATTCAGCAGCTTTCCTGAGACGCCCAAGCACCAGAACAAACCTCCCCCAACTCCCAGAGCAGCAGTTACTGACCAGATCAGAGACACACAGACAGCTGGGCTGGGGCTCAGCGGGGCCAAGCAGCATCACTGTCACCCAGCAGCTCTGGACGGGCTCAGACAAGCCTCAGTGGTGCTCAGTGGAAGCGCAGGGAGCCGCAGGGATGCAGCGGGCTCCTGCAGCTGAGTGTCACAGAGCCAGAAGCTGAGCTCACCCCTCGGCCACACCCAGCATCTCCCCAGCATACGGCATCTTCCTCTCTCTGTCAGTCCTAAGCAAATCCTGACTGTTGACTGAGACCGTTAGGTCACAGACCCCAGGAGCTGGGAGAGAAAGCTCACGCAGTGAATCTGACCCTGCTCAGTGCCGATGCCTAATCTTACTAGAGGTTTCCCTAGGAACCCCATTTTTAAAAAGATTTTTCTTCCACAAAGTGTGTTTATTAGCTAGTAATTTAATTTCCTATTTTCCTTTACTAGAAAAAAATCCCTATGCACCATTCGCAGGTTTCTGACCAGCGTGAGCTCATAACCACCATGACCACTGACTCTGCAGGGTCCCAGCCCTAAGCAAAGCAACCTGACATTTAGCTTCGCCCATGCGACCTTATACCAGGTAGATGCAGGACTCCCATGAGGGTGCTACATGGATCCTAAGAGAAGCAGGATTGCCAAGGAAGACTGCTGGGAGAAAAACTCTACCCTAGACCACCCCGCACTGTGGAAAGGAGAAGACGAGGCCCCAAAGACATCGACCACCTTGTCTGAGGCCAAGAGTCCCAGGAGGCGAGGCCAGGCAGGTCCAGGTAGGAATCAGCTGCAAGGCGAGGATGCCTACTTGGCTGCTCTCTTGTCCCCAGTGCAGAACTGGGGGTGCAGAACCCACAGGCATCTGCTTGCTGGGTCTTCCCAGCACCCCCTGCCACCTCCCTCACCCCTAAGGGCCCTCTGCTCAGGGCTGTCCGTGCAGCTTAGCCCCCCAGACCTCCACCCCCGGACTCACTCTCTGCCACCCTCCCAGACAAAGGCCCACCTGCTGCCGCTCCCCTGGGGTCAGTGTGGGCGACAGGCCGGCTGGCCTGCTGGCATCCAGGCTGTTCTTGGTCAGTGCAAGGGGCTGCTCCATACTGAGGCTGGGGAGGGATGTGTACAGGTGGCTGCCGTGCAGGCTCATGGTGGGGGCCACAGCACGCTCGATGGGGCTGCGGCTCCGCTCCCGGGGGTCTTTCCGGCAGTCTCCATTGGCAGTCTTGCTCCTGAAAGAGAGGAGAGAGCACTCAGACAGGAACACTTGGCACCTTCTGATGGCAAAGGGATACTGTGTGCCAGGTGCTTCACGTTGCTCATTTCATATAACTTTGACCTTGAAGCCTAGATCGTGAAGCTGGTCAGTACGCCAAGAGCCAGGCTGCTGGCCAGGGTCAGCCTGCCTCCCGACCCCTGAGCGCTGACAGAGTCTGGCGTTGGGGCCCTCCAAACAAAGATGGAGAGCCCGCGTGGTGGCGTCCGCCTCCTGCCTGCCTGCCTGCCTGCTGCCACCCTCCACCCCACTTGCTTGCAGCCCAGAGCTGACGTGCATGCTCACGACTACCCTGGTTGGACAAGGACCTGCCATTGAGACAGGATGATGAGTAAAAATCACCAGAGCGTCCTGCTGCCGGGTCCTGCTCTGTGACCCCACAGGCATCTGCTCGCTGGGTCTTCCCAGCAGCCCTATGCAGGCAATGCCACAACGACCCTCTCTCCAGACAAGCCTGGATTCAGAAGTACCATGACTGGCCCGCACTACAGGGGTGGGTAAGTGGTGGCATTTGCTCTGCTCTACTGTGTGCAAGTGCGGCCAGGACAGTCTGGGCTTGCATGCACCTCTTCTGTCCAGAATACACGGCAGGTAAGAGGGGGCTTCCTGGAGCGGCTTGAAGAAGGCCCATCACCAGCAGGCCTGTGTGTCTGGGGGTCCCCGAGAGCCCTGTGGCCCCCAGATGCCTCCATCCGATGCGATCTAGCCTGAAGGCAACACTCTACGTGCATCTGGGAGACGGGGACCCAACACCAACACAGGCTGGGACCCAGAGTTCACCTGGTGAGGCACAGCCTGCAAAAGACCACAGATGCTGTTCGGGCTCAGCCCTGGTCTGTCTCCCCCAGCCCCATTTATCTGAGGGGACTCACGGTTCTTTCAGCTCAGGGTCTGGCCCTTTAAGCCCACCACATCACTGCTGACACAGCAATCTTTCTTGTTTTCATTACTAATGAGCAAGTCTTTTAATGTGGTGCATAATGACTTTAGTGACTTTGCTTTAAGAAATGCAAATTATTCTCAGAGTCCCCAAGTAGCCATCCTTTCAGCTCAAAGTTGGACGACCTGTCTTGCCAGCAGAAAAGCTGGGCTAGTGCACAGCGACCCTACGGAAGAGGAAGCTACTGCCCACCCACTCGACTGGCTGGATTCGACGATACAGGATGTGGCACTTCATAGCACACGTGCTCACAGGCAAGTATGTGCGTGTGACAGGAATGCCTTTTAAGAACGATGGATTAACTCGCAGTTGTGAGAAATAACAGAGCAACCCTGTGTGCCCTCTCCCCCTGCTTCCAGTGGCGACACCTCGTAAAACTATCGCACGATATCACACCAGGATGACGAGACAGCCCCCTGACCTTATTCAGGTTTCCTGTTTCACTTGTACTCACTTCAGAGCAACCTCTTCATAAAGCAAATCCCACCACCCCAATCCCTACCCCCAAGTTTGGCAGTTCAGCACCGTCCTCAGTGCCCCCTGGGCCTCACCACCTTTCTATCCTTGTCTCCGGCTCCACGCCCCAAACGCGGTGCCCTGTAAGTACAACCGTCTACTTGCCAGTCCTCAGATAAGACGATAAGACGCGGTCACTCCATGCCTCTGTGGCTGAAGCTATGTTCACCCCGCCCACCTCTCCCTCCCTCAGCCCCCACCTGCCACCCACAGCTGCAGTGTTCTACATCCCGAAGTGCGCTGTGCATGCCTTAAAAACAGAGCAATGCTGTCTTCACCTGTGCGCCCTCGCCCGCACACCCGAAGCTTCTGAGGGCACAGCGTCCCGTTCAGCTCAGAACCTGAGCTGCCTGCGTGCAGTGGGTACACGGCAAAGGGGAAGGAACGAAGAGAAACAGCACGCGGGTGTCTGGGGAAGGAAGGCAGGCCTGGTGGACAGGGCACTGCAGACAGGGAGACTCGTGGGGAGGTGGCGGGCCGTGGAGCTGACTGCTGGGGTGCACACAGCCTGCAGCCTTTTCTGGTCAGTGTCCCCGGAAGTCCCCTGCTCCTGCTGCCCTGAACAACTGGGCACTCGGGAAAGGGCACTCGAGGCAGCACTGGAGGGCCCGGCTGCAGGCCTTGGTCCTGCATGTCCTGCCGTACCATCTCTCGGCATGCCCCTCGGCTGGTCATGTAGTGCCACTGAGGTCTCTCAAGCCTGGGAATCCTCGTCCGTAAGCAGTCATCGTTAAGATCCACCTCAAGGGCTTTACACGGGGACTGGAAGGTCTCCACGTGAAAACAACTGTGCTCGCCCTGTGCAGGTGGTCAGGGAACATCAGCAGGATCCAAGTCAGCCCTAAATTTCATTTCTTGATTACAGGATAATCAGCTGCACAGGACACAGCGTTTAGTTTATGGGTTTTTCCCATTTATTCTCTGGTTGGCTATACAGAATGACTGAAAGTCATTAGAGAAAAGGCGTTCAGCCCATTAGGACAGCCATGGAAGAGAATGTAATAGTCGCGCGTCTGGATGATGTGTTCCACAGAGACGTACACATCCTGGCAATTTTCAAAATGTTACAATACCAAAAAATTACTTAGTATTGAAACCAGCCTGTCCACCATTCCACTGTGGACACCATGGTGACTGAGAAGCCATTACAGGTTTCGCCAATGAATGCTGACCCCACTGGAGGGCAGACATGAGAATGTCTACTTCACGGACTTAGAGCCACTCAAGCCCGAGACACACTGGCTTTTACCTGAGTACTGACTCCTAACACAGTTTCTCAGTGTCTCATCACACATACTCATATTCAAGTTTTCCTCTACATTGGGATAAAAGTAAAATGCATTTTTTAACAGGGTAGGTAGGTGAATTGCTTCACAATCCTCCCCCCCTCCCAAAATAACACTTTCCCAGGCCACTTCCTGAACTGGGCAGGCTCGGGAGATGGATTCATGAGCTGCTCAGTCAGAATTTGCTTCTGCTGAATTTAGACTTGTTTATCCAGCCCATGTTAACTGAGCCCCTATTTTGATATAGCAGGGGAAAAAAGGCCTGGAGAGGGGTGACAGCTCACAAGTGACTGCTCTGGTGCCAGGCGTGGTGGCACGTGCCACAGGAGCTGGCAGAAGGCTGGAGAAAGTCCAAGGATGAAGACTCACCTCCAGATGGCACGGAAGAGCAGGCTAGACCTCGGCCAGCACCTTTTTCATCCAAAGTTAAGGCCACCAGTACCTGCGGAGCCACTCACGCCTCAGACCTTCCGTCCAAGGGGCACTTTAATACTGGCCAAGGTTCATCATGCACAAGGATGAAATCAGCTGCAAGTCAGGTGCTCCAACCCTGGTCACCGAGGAAGAGGTGCCAAGGGGAGTCAGACATCATCCAAGGCCGCCCCGCTGACGGAACAGAGGTGATGGTAGGGCAGCGCCACGCACACCCTGCCGTCTGTGCTCCCACAGACTTGCTGTGTGCCCATCCACACAGGGCAGTGGAGAAGGGGACTCCCGGGTACACTGACCAGAAAAACCAGTCCATCGAAAACATCACGTGGTGGGCCGATGGACCGAACAGAGACACTGAACAAGTCTGCAGAACTTGCTGGTTAATTTTAGCAAAATTATACATTACTCACATTTCCAGCTCATTCTCCTGGTTCCCGGAGCTTAAAGACAGACATTGTTTTCCACGTCCTCCCCCCCTCCCCGTGATTCACCCCGCCAGGCCCCGCCACTTCCCAAGCGTCATGTGCTCTGGGACGGCAGCTCCAAACCGCACGCATCCTGCCGGGAGACAGGAGTCCTCTTGCTCTTGCTTAGGAGGGGTCCACCCACAAAAACCCACCCTGGCCCGATGGGGCATGGAGGCCCAGGGCTGGCTCCACTCCAGGCCCCATCAGTGGCGCCGAGGGCTCTCACCCCATCCCTGGGAAGAGCTTCCGCTGCCAGCCGCTTCAGGAGAGACAGATGGAAAGAGGGGAAGAGGGGAAGATGGGCCTGTGACGCTTTCATCCAGCACGGCAGTTTCTGGAGAGCAGGGGCCACAAGCTGCTGTGCCCTCCCTGAGCTGAGAAGCCGAGCACGTTGCCAGCGTTCAGGGACAAGCAGACTGGATCCAAGCAGGGAAACCACGGAAGAGCCCAGCATGTGAAAAAAGTACCCTGCACCCATTTGTATGTTCCTCAAAAAGAGGGTTTCCCGCCTTAAACAGGGGCCCAGGGCTGGGAGCCCACCCTGAGGAACGTGTTGCTTGACAGGCCAAGAGCCTTTGCTGAGTCTCACTGAGTATTGAGGGTGACAAACTCAACTGACGAGTTGGGGCTCTTCTGGCCAGGGAGGGGAGGCGGGCATGAGACACTCTGAGGATGATTCCTGGGGTCCCCCGCATCAGCCCACTCCGCCACAGGCCCCAGGGCACAGTGAGGGAGGCGAGGCCCAGGCCGGCCCCACAGTGCACAGGACATCCTGAGGTGGCAGAGCAGCCCTTCCGGGGATCAAGGAGACAGAGGTTTGGAGCAGGAGGGGCTGGGGGAGGGGGGAGGCGGGAGGCGGGGTGCAGGGCCAGAGCAAGGGGCCAAGACACGGCCCTCTCTTCCTCTCACTGCATCAACCACGGGAGGATCCGCCCCTGGGACCCCGGCAGGGCAGCCACAAACCTTCGCTGGTCCCACCTCCACAATGAGATGCTGTCTCTAATCTTTAAAAGCGTCCTCAGAGGATGGACTTAATACCACTGAACCGTCCACTTAAACATGGGCAAAGTGGTAATTTGTACGCTGTGTACATTTGCCAAATTTGGGGAACGGTTGATTCATCAGTCGTTGACAAAAGGCCTTCCGCCCAACATGACTTGCCGATCCTGGCGCTTCCGGTGTGTGTGGCAGGCGGCACCACCCGCTTTTACAGAGGAGACGGCCGAGGTGGGAGAGATGAAAGGCTGTGCCCAGACTGGCACACAGACACTGGCCTGTGGTATCTGCTGCTCAGGGTCCTATGCCAGGCCCACCC